CCCGGGTAACGAGCCGTCTCTCTGCCGCTTCCAGTGATGCGGAGGCGGAGCTCCCTGACCGCGGAGAAGGACAGCGACCCGGAGCTGAAGCAGCGAGCCGGCAGAGCGGCGGCGCATCCGGCGACCGAGGCCGACAGGGCCCGGGAGAGGAGCCGGGGATGGGGAAGAGACCGTTCAGGAGGTGAGCACCGAGGAAACAGGTGGGGGAGGGAGTCTAGAGAAAATGGTGAAAAACATAAACTGAATAATTCAATAAAAAGATTAAAGTCTTTAAGGTTTTGAAGTTTGGGTGGGACATCAGAGGACAAAGAACCAGTCTCACTGGCAAGACTAGTCAGACTGGTTCCAGTGAGACTGTTGAGCTGGTTGGACTGGAAGGTCAGTCTGGAGACACTGAGGGACATTTGGAGACACTGAGGAACATTTGGAGACACTGGGGGACATTTGGAGACACTGGGGGACATTTGGAGACAGGACCACATGTTTCTAAGTCTTGATGTTGACACTGAGGCGCTCAGACCAAAGATGCGGTTCTGAGCTGATTTGGACCATCTGGACCGGGCCGGCTGGTTCTGTGCAGTCGGAGCAGTGACCTCAGCGGCTCAGGAGGTCAAGAGGTCACGTGATCCTCCTGTTCCTCCTGAAGCTGATCTCAGATCAGGGCGCTGCAGAACCTTCTGGACGAACCTGACCCGGTTCTGGTTGGTTCCAGAACTGGGTCAGGTTCTGGCCCAGGCTGTTCAGGTCCAGATATTCTGACCCGCCGCAGGAAGCGAAACTGAGCAGAACAGGAAGTCTGGAGTCTGACTCGGCGTCATGTGACCCTGAACGCAGCAGCTGTGATGCGTTCACTGACCGCTTGGCCCCGCCCCTCCCCATGACCCCCAGTCAGAACCACCAGATCTGGACCGGTCCATCTGGCTGTGGACGGGCCAGTGGACGGTTCTGATACCGACCCAGAACCTTCAGAATCTTTGACCTCAGTCAAATACAGCCAGGTTCTGGTTCTGGCTAGGTCCATCTAGCCAGAACCAGAACCTTCCAGCAGGTGTGACCCAGTAAATCGTCCTCATTGTTCTGGAGTCAGTCAGAACCGGTTCTGACTGGTATCAGTCGGGCAGCAGGGATCCGAACCTCTGCGGTTCTGTTTGGACCTGATGCTGCCAGCTGCTGTCTGGCTCGGCTTACTGGTTCTGTGCAGATCCGGTCTCTGGTTCTGGTTACCAGAAACTGGATCTGAACAGTTTCTGGTAACCAGACAGGTCGGAACTGGATGACCCGCTGTTGGATCCGAACAGAACCGCTCTGGACATGTTCAGCCCGGTCCAGTAACACTTTGTGGACAGACCGGCTGCTCCAGTGAACAGAACCAGAACCGGTTCAAAACTGGACCCAGTACTCCTCAGAACCATCCTGCTGGTCTTTCTGTCTTCCTCCATGAATTATTGATCTGTTCTGAGCGCGCTCAGTCTGGGTCGGGTCGGGTTTCTCCGGGTCGCTCCATCAGAACCATCAGAACCTGCTGGCCTGACAGAGATTGGTCTCAGGAGATGTTCCACTCTGTCCGGCCGTAGCGGCGTCGGTTCCGTCTGATTGGCTGTTCTCTCCTCAGGCTGGGGCTGCTGGGAAAGATGAAGAGGATGATGATGGTGCTGCTCTTCGTCTACGTCTCCATCCCCTTCATCATCAAGCTCTTCCCTCCATCCAGGCCAAACTCGTCTTCCTCAACTTCGGTGAGTTCAGTCGGACCTGAACTGAGCTGTGATTGGCCGGTTCAGCGCTGCATGGCAGCCAGCAGGGGGCGGTGTAGGACAGCCGTTTCACCCAGCATGCACTGCTCCAGGATGGAGCGCAGCCTTCCTCCGTCTGGTGAACTGCTTCCTGTTTTCCTGTGCTGCCTTCAGGCAGCGTGGGACATCATAGTTCTGTAGCTTCAGCTGAGCAGAACCAATCAGAACCTGCTGCTCATAACACAGAAACAAACGGACCAATGGCGAGCTGCCAGAGAGGTCATGTGACCTGTGTGTGTTTTTTGTCCCAGTGAGGATGCCATACTTCATCGACCTGAAGCGACCTCTGGATCAGGGGCTGAACCACACACACAACTTCTACCTGGAGCCTGAGGCGGGCCTGAAGATCGGAGTCTGGTACCAGAACCACACAGAACCTACAGAACCACACAGAACCACACAGAACCTACAGAACCACACAGAACCACAGAGAACCACACAGAACCTACAGAACCACACAGAACCTACAGAACCACACAGAACCACACAGAACCTACAGAACCACCCAGAACCTACAGAACCTACAGAACCACACAGAACCTACAGAACCACACAGAACCTACAGAACCTCACAGAACCTACAGAACCTCACAGAACCTACAGAACCACACAGAACCACACAGAACCTACAGAACCACACAGAACCACACAGAACCTACAGAACCACAGAGAACCACACAGAACCTACAGAACCACACAGAACCTACAGAACCACACAGAACCTACAAAACCACACAGAACCACACAGAACCTACAGAACCACAGAGAACCACACAGAACCTACAGAACCACACAGAACCTACAGAACCACACAGAACCACACAGAACCTACAGACCACACAGACCACACAGAACCTACAGAACCACAGAGAACCACACAGAACCTACAGAACCACACAGAACCTACAGAACCACACAGAACCTACAGAACCACACAGAACCACACAGAACCTACAGAACCACACAGAACCTACAGAACCACACAGAACCACACAGAACCTACAGAACCACACAGAACCTACAGAACCTCACAGAACCTACAGAACCACAGAACCACACAGAACCTACAGAACCACACAGAACCTACAGAACCTACAGAACCACACAGAACCACACAGAACCTACAGAACCTACAGAACCTACAGAACCACACAGAACCTACAGAACCTACAGAACCACACAGAACCTACAGAACCTACAGAACCACACAGAACCTACAGAACCTACAGAACCTACAGAACCACACAGAACCTACAGAACCTACAGAACCTACAGAACCACACAGAACCTACAGAACCTACAGAACCACACAGAACCACACAGAACCTACAGAACCACACAGAACCTACAGAACCACACAGAACCACACAGAACCTACAGAACCTACAGAACCATACAGAACCTACAGAACCTACAGAACCACACAGAACCTACAGAACCACACAGAACCTACAGAACCATACAGAACCTACAGAACCTACAGAACCACACAGAACCACACAGAACCATACAGAACCTACAGAACCTACAGAACCACACAGAACCACACAGAACCATACAGAACCATACAGAACCACACAGAACCACACAGAACCTACAGAACCATACAGAACCTACAGAACCTACAGAACCACACAGAACCACACAGAACCATACAGAACCATACAGAACCTACAGAACCACACAGAACCACACAGAACCATACAGAACCATACAGAACCACACAGAACCACACAGAACCTACAGAACCACACAGAACCATACAGAACCATACAGAACCACACAGAACCACACAGAACCTACAGAACCTACAGAACCACACAGAACCTACAGAATCACACAGAACCTACAGAACCACACAGAACCTACAGAACCATACAGAACCACCCAGAACCTACAGAACCACACAGAACCTACAGAACCACACAGAACCACACAGAACCTACAGAACCTACAGAACCACACAGAACCTACAGAACCACACAGAACCTACAGAACCACACAGAACCTACAGAACCACACAGAACCTACAGAACCTACAGAACCACACAGAACCTACAGAACCATACAGAACCACACAGAACCTACAGAACCTACAGAACCTACAGAACCACACAGAACCACACAGAACCTACAGAACCACACAGAACCTACAGAACCTACAGAACCTACAGAACCATACAGAACCACACAGAACCTACAGAACCTACAGAACCTACAGAACCATACAGAACCACACAGAACCACACAGAACCTACAGAACCTACAGAACCTACAGAACCACACAGAACCTACAGAACCTACAGAACCACACAGAACCTACAGAATCACACAGAACCTACAGAACCACACAGAACCTACAGAACCATACAGAACCACCCAGAACCTACAGAACCACACAGAACCTACAGAACCTACAGAACCACACAGAACCTACAGAACCACACAGAACCTACAGAACCACACAGACCTACAGAACCTACAGAACCACACAGAACCTACAGAACCATACAGAACCACACAGAACCTACAGACTACAGAACCTACAGAACCACACAGAACCACACAGAACCTACAGAACCACACAGAACCTACAGAACCTACAGAACCTACAGAACCATACAGAACCACACAGAACCTACAGAATCACACAGAACCTACAGAACCACACAGAACCTACAGAACCATACAGAACCTACAGAACCATACAGAACCACACAGAACCACACAGAACCTACAGAACCTACAGAACCACACAGAACCTACAGAATCACACAGAACCTACAGAACCACACAGAACCTACAGAACCATACAGAACCTACAGAACCACACAGAACCTACAGAACCACCCAGAACCTACAGAACCATACAGAACCACCCAGAACCTACAGAACCACACAGAACCTACAGAACCACACAGAACCACACAGAACCTACAGAACCTACAGAACCACACAGAACCTACAGAACCACACAGAACCACACAGAACCTACAGAACCACACAGAACCTACAGAACCTACAGAACCTACAGAACCACACAGAACCACACAGAACCTACAGAACCACACAGAACCTACAGAACCATACAGAACCACACAGAACCTACAGAACCACACAGAACCTACAGAACCACACAGAACCTACAGAACCATACAGAACCACACAGAACCTACAGAACCACACAGAACCACAGAACCACACAGAACCTACAGAACCACACAGAACCACACAGAACCTACAGAACCTACAAAACCACACAGAACCACACAGAACCTACAGAACCACACAGAACCTACAGAACCACACAGAACCTACAGAACCACACAGAACCACACAGAACCTACAGAACCACACAGAACCTACAGAACCACACAGAACCTACAGAACCACACAGAACCTACAGAACCTACAGAACCTACAGAACCTACAGAACCTACAGAACCACACAGAACCTACAGAACCTACAGAACCACACAGAACCTACAGAACCACAGAACCTACAGAACCTACAGAACCAACAGAACCTACAGAACCACACAGAACCTACAGAACCTACAGAACCACACAGAACCTACAGAACCACACAGAACCTACAGAACCACACAGAACCTACAGAACCTACAGAACCACACAGAACCACAGAACACAGAACCACACAGAACCTACAGAACCATACAGAACCACACAGAACCTACAAACCACACAGAACCTACAGAACCATACAGAACCACACAGAACCTACAGAACCACACAGAACCTACAGAACCACACAGAACCTACAGAACCACACAGAACCTACAGAACCTACAAAACCACACAGAACCACACAGAACCTACAGAACCACACAGAACCTACAGAACCACACAGAACCACACAGAACCTACAGAACCACACAGAACCTACAGAACCACACAGAACCTACAGAACCTACAGAACCACACAGAACCTACAGAACCTACAGAACCTACAGAACCACACAGAACCTACAGAACCTACAGAACCTACAGAACCACACAGAACCTACAGAACCTACAAACCACACAGAACCACACAGAACCTACAGAACCTACAGAACCTACAGAACCACACAGAACCACACAGAACCTACAGAACCTACAGAACCACACAGAACCTACAGAACCACACAGAACCTACAGAACCACACAGAACCTACAGAACCTACAGAACCACACAGAACCACACAGAACCACACAGAACCTACAGAACCTACAGAACCACACACACACAGAACCTACAGAACCACACAGAACCTACAGAACCACACACACACAGAACCTACAGAACCTACAGAACCACACAGAACCACACAGAACCACACAGAACCTACAGAACCACACAGAACCTACAGAACCACACAGAACCTACAGAACCACACAGAACCACACAGAACCTACAGAACCTACAGAACCTACAGCCTTTTAGTTTTTTTGCCATTTATCAAAATTGTTTTATTTGCATTTCCTCAGATTTCTGAATAATAAGACAAATAATTCAGAACCAAAGAGGAATAAATAATATGCAAGCCTTTAACGTTTCTTAAATCTTTTATTTGAAACAATATTCCAATAGTTTTTGCAGTTTTGTTTCTAATATATTGTATATGAGGATTTCAACTCAGTTTATTTTCTTTAATAATCCCTAAAAATTTTCTCTCATGGACTTTTTCAATTTCAACTCCATTTATGCAATTATAATAATGTACAATAGTACAATAACGTGCTTCTGCTGCTGCTGCAGCGACGTGCTGCTGCTGCTGCTGCAGCGACGTGCTGCTGCTGCTGCTGCTGCTGCAGCTTGTTGCTATTATTGTTATTAAGAAAGGAGTCCAGACGTTTTCTGAATATTTCTTCTGAAAGTTGCGGCAGCAGTTATATCAGCCTGGAGTTTCTTAGTTTTTCTGGACTGGAAAATGTTTTCCGTCTTCATGTTGTCAGGAAAGATTCCAGTTATATTATAACTGAGAGGTTCAGTAAAACTATAAATCACCTCTTTCATAATAACCATATGAATATCAGTATAATCTGTGGATTTCTTGTTTTTTAACTTTTTAAAGTTTTAACCTCATTTTCTCTCACTATTCCCAGAAACATTGTGTTAATATTAATACATTTATAATTATGTTCTTCATCTGTAACGTTTGGGAATTAATTTACTAAATTAGGATCAATAATTCAACAATATCAGTGTTGTCGTGTTTAATACATATTGGAAAATCTCCATCGTTATTGTTTTTAATAATAATTAATTATATTCCAAGTACACCAAATATTGTTGCAATATTTTTGCAGGAATCTATCATAATAGTCTTGCTTTTTTCTGACTTCTAATGTTAATTTATTTTTATATTTTCTTCTTTTTCCTGAGTTGGGCATTTAATAAAATCTTTATATAACTTGTTTTTTTTTTTAGCTTCTCCAAACTTTTATCTATTTCTGGATCTTTGTTTATAATAATGATCATAAGTTGTTGCAAATATTTCTAAAAATGTGTGATATGACTCATTAACATCAACATAAACATTTTTCCAATTATAGTTTAATAATTCTCCTTTGATCCACAGCTTCAGGTGATTTTATTAAATTAGTCATTTGTTTTGTCATATTTAGTTAAACTGGCAAATTTATATCAATATGAACTTATTCATAGAAATATGATCAGTTAGTGATGAACTGTCTTTAGTTATCGTTTAACATTAATGGATAGAAACCTAAACCAAACATTGTTTTATTAAATTTGTCAACAAATTAAAATCTCCACATATTAAAGTGAACTTTTCATACGTCTGATATTTTCTTAATAAACTCGTTTATCTCCTCAACTTCCACAAACATCCCGTCAACGCATCATGAAAACGATTCCAGGTCTCAGTCAGAGCTGGAATCCGTCCAACATCATGACCTTTTACTGACCTTCAGCTGACCTTTTACTGACCTTCAGCTGACCTTTTACTGACCTTACTGACCTTTTACTGACCTTCAGCTGACCTTTTACTGACCTTCTGCTGACCTTTTACTGACCTTTTACTGACCTTCAGCTGACCTTCAGCTGACCTTTTACTGACCTTTTACTGACCTTCAGCTGACCTTTTACTGACCTTTTACTGACCTTCTGCTGACCTTTTACTGACCTTCAGCTGACCTTTTACTGACCTTTTACTGACCTTCAGCTGACCTTTTACTGACCTTTTACTGACCTTCAGCTGACCTTTTACTGACCTTCTGCTGACCTTTTACTGACCTTTTACTGACCTTCAGCTGACCTTTTACTGACCTTTTACTGACCTTCTGCTGACCTTTTACTGACCTTTTACTGACCTTCAGCTGACCTTTTACTGACCTTTTACTGACCTTCTGCTGACCTTTTACTGACCTTTTACTGACCTTCAGCTGACCTTTTACTGACCTTTTACTGACCTTCTGCTGACCTTTTACTGACCTTCAGCTGACCTTTTACTGACCTTTTACTGACCTTCAGCTGACCTTTTACTGACCTTTACTGACCTTCAGCTGACCTTTTACTGACCTTCTGCTGACCTTTTACTGACCTTTTACTGACCTTCAGCTGACCTTTTACTGACCTTTTACTGACCTTCTGCTGACCTTTTACTGACCTTCAGCTGACCTTTTACTGACCTTTTACTGACCTTCAGCTGACCTTTTACTGACCTTTTACTGACCTTCAGCTGACCTTTTACTGACCTTCTGCTGACCTTTTACTGACCTTTTACTGACCCTTCAGCTGACCTTTTACTGACCTTTTACTGACCTTCTGCTGACCTTTTACTGACCTTTTACTGACCTTCAGCTGACCTTTTACTGACCTTTTACTGACCTTCTGCTGACCTTTTACTGACCTTTTACTGACCTTCAGCTGACCTTTTACTGACCTTTTACTGACCTTCTGCTGACCTTTTACTGACCTTCAGCTGACCTTTTACTGACCTTTTACTGACCTTCAGCTGACCTTTTACTGACCTTTTACTGACCTTCAGCTGACCTTTTACTGACCTTCTGCTGACCTTTTACTGACCTTTTACTGACCTTCAGCTGACCTTTTACTGACCTTTTACTGACCTTCTGCTGACCTTTTACTGACCTTTTACTGACCTTCAGCTGACCTTTTACTGACCTTTTACTGACCTTCTGCTGACCTTTTACTGACCTTTTACTGACCTTCAGCTGACCTTCTGCTGTTCTGACTCAACATCCATCAGATCTTTTTCCACGTTTCTAAAGTTGCTGCAAAACTCAGTTTCTCATCAAAGGTCATTTTTATCTGAGATAAATTACTATTAAAATGAATTATTGCACATTAATACATTAAATATCAGGTTCATTCATAGACTTTATGATTGTTGGATCAAAACACTAAATGCCATTTTGACTCATAACTAAATGATATTTTCTTCACTTTCATCAAAGCAAAAACCAGAACATAGAAAAGTGTAACCTAGCAACACCAAGTCAAAGGTCAACATCTGTGATGTTTGAACCTTCAGGAGAATCGATGGCGGCGATTCTGATTCCTTCTTTCTCTTTCATTCACAAACTTTTTTCCCTTTTGCTCTTTACCAGCTGCAGCTCTGCAGTATTTGCTCTAGATTTCATTTTTGAGGCTTCGTGTAAAAAGCAGCGAAAGTTTTTTCTTTGCTGCTGCAGAGGAACAAGTTCATCTGGTTCCGGTTCTGGTTCTGGATCTGGATCTGGATCTGGATCTGGTTCTGGTTCTGGTTCTGGTTCCGGTTCCGGTTCTGGTTCTGGTTCTGATTCTGGTTCTGGTTCCGGTTCCGGTTCTGGTTCCGGTTCCGGTTCCGGTTCCGGTTATGGTTCCGGTTCTGGTTCCGGTTCCGGTTCCGGTTCTGGTTCTGGTTCTGGTTCTGGTTCCGGTTCTGGTTCTGGTTCCGGTTCCGGGTCCAGTGTTACTCAGTTGCAGCGTTAAGCGTCTCTATAAAACTATCATAAATATGAACTTTGACCTTGGACATGTCCAGTGTCTCCGCCCGCTGAAGTCGTCCTCTCAGGAGGAACTGGCTCAACACAATGCATTATGGGTAATTCAGTTCTGGAGGCACAAAATGGCTGACACCGAGCGGCTGTAGTTCTGATGAGAGAAAAGAGAAACAAACAAAGACCAGGAATAGCAGATGCTTTGACTAGGCCAGTCACAGCATCAGGTCTAGTCATCCAGAAACGTCTGGTGTTTCAGGCACGGTTCCCGCTCAGATGTGGAGGGACGCTCAGGGCAAAGATGGCGACTGGTACCGCTCCGCCTTTAGCTCCGCCCACCCTGTCATCCTCTATCTCCATGGCAACGCAGGGACCAGAGGCGGTGACCACCGGGTGCAGCTGTACAAGGTGATGAAGAGCTGAACTCCTCCTGATTGGCTGAGAGGAACCACCTGACCCCTGTCTGTCCTCCTTCAGGTCCTCAGTTCACTGGGATACCATGTGGTGACCTACAGAGAGGTCACACCATAGCAGAAAGGATGGGCACCACCAAGCAGCTGGATTCAGTCTGGTGTATGTGTGTGTGTGTGTGTGTGTGTGTGTGTGTGTGTGTGTGTGTGTGTGTGTGTGTGTGTGTGACCAGGGTGGGGCGACTCAGATGGATCGCCATCAGAGCGAGGGATGACATCAGACGCTCTTTTCGTCTATGATTGGCTGAGACAGAGGATGGAGAAAACTCTGCCCCTCTACATCTGGGGCCACTCTCTGGGGACCGGGTAACACACACACACACACCCACACACACCCACACACACACCCACACACACACACACACACACACACACACACACACACACACACACACACACACACACACACACACACACCCACACACACACACACACACACACCCACACACACACACACACACACACAAACACACACACACACACAACACACACACACACACAGACACACACACACACACCAGGATATAAAAAGGGCCTCTTCAGTAAATCTGAACTTTCTGTTTCAGAGTCGCAACGAACCTGGTGAGACGGCT